GTGCAGGTAGGTTTGGATGCATGCATGCACTGGCACAGATGTGTGTGTGTGTGTGTGTGTGTGTGTGTGTGTGTGTGTGTGTATGTGCCCGTGTGCCGGCATGTGTCATGCTGACACACGAATGACTCCGGGTGTGCCCGCGCGAGCTGCCTGTCTCGGGGGAGGCCGGATGATGTATGGCTCTCCTGGCCGCTCGCTGAGCCTGCATTGATTTATCTGGGCCCATCCATCAGGGTTTAATAAAACTAAGAGACGAGCATCCATCAGCAGGGGAGGTTGGCAACAAGGTCCTGAGCCCGGCGACCTGCTCTCCCACCCACTGTACCCAGGGGGGAAGCTTCCTTGGCCCGCACACAACTCTGTGATACCTTCCAGGAGACTTGGCCTCTGACCTTGTGGGTGCCTGGCAGGGCTGCCTGGCTGAGCTGGGTGCAGCTAGCCAGGTACCAGGCTAGTATATGCACAGGCGGTTAAGATCTTGAAATACTTCCGAGTGGCTTGGCAAATAGTCTCTGTCTCGAGGCCCCTCCCTATCCCAACTCACCTGGCCTTCTAGGACCCTCTAGATTTCTCCTTCACGCAGCAACTATCCACTGGCGCCATCAGATACCGCCTGGACCCAGTCTCAATGCTCCGGCCAGCATTCTGCTCTGGCTGGTCGGTGTCCGTGCCATACCGGTGGTTAAATATTTTGAATATCACCCTGGCGAAAAGCCTAGCCCAAGGCCTATGGTCGGGCCTCTGAGAGGGACGGGTGCCTGGCCAGACCTCTGCCACCCCAGTACTAGGGCCTGGGCCCCATGGGCCGGCTGCTACTCGCCTATGTATGATGCTGCGTGAACTCAGGAATCCGTGTTCACAGTCTCTGTGGTTTTCAGGTGCTGCAGCTGTGGCCGACCTCTCTGGATCAGGATGTGGGCACCTTGGGTTTCTGGCTTGTGGCTGCTCAGTCTCTGGGCCGCCTGCAGCCATGGGGCAGATACAGGTGAGATGACACAGGAGGCTCAGGGTGCCATAGGCCTCTGACCGGCTCCTTGAGATACAGGAGCCCTGTGTACATATGTGACCCCGTGCCTCGATCACGTGGGCATTTGTAAGAGTCCCAGGCTGGGCTCAGGGTGGTCTGAGGTGTTTGCACCCGTGAGCCTGTGCAGTGTGAGCTAGAGTGTATGTATGTGTGTTTCTGTCTGCATGTTTGTGTATCTCTGAGCATCGCAGAGTCTCTCTGTGCATCTGTACATATCCCTCTGTCTCCGTGTACGAGAGAACAACTCTCCTCCCGGCACGTAAACTCACCGTGTGCACAGAGTGTTGGCAGGGCCGGTGAGGTTCCTGCAGAAGGAAGCTGCATCTTGAGAGAGGCCCAAGCCCTTCCAGTGCCTTTCATGGAGGAGAATCCGTCCTCCAGCCCACGTGTTCCTCCTCCACACGGCTGGCCCTGGATCCTGGATAAAGAGCCCGCCTCGAGGCCCAGACGCTGGATGGGACAGAGGGTGCAGCTTTCCAGGGCCCAAAGCCAGAGGAAGTTGACCGGGCAACTTGCCCTGCCCTGCTGGGTGCCCTCTGGGCTTCGTAGCTTAGCTGCCTCGCTGAGCAGAAATAGAACTCCTAGAACCCTCATCTAGCTGAGGGCGGCACAAAAACCAAGGTGCAGATGTGAGAGGGGTGTGCCCCCAGGGTGCACGTGACTGCCTGCAGGGCTGTGTGCGTACATGTGTGTTTCTGCATGTATGCGCGAGTGCCTTGCTCTCTCCCTTACCGGGTCGCCTGGGGGATGGGGCAGAGAGTTTCAACATCTGTAAGGAATCTGGGCCCATGGCCAAGGGTGAGTCACCCATTGCTGCTGCCGATGCTGAAGACAGTGATAGTCTTTCTGGCCAGACCTGGGGGAGGGAGACTCCAGTGGGGTCACTGGGCCTAGAGATCCAGGATTCCTTCCTCAGTTAGGCAGCCAGGGAGTCCAGTGCCCAGCTTCTAGGAGTTGTCCTCATTATCCTGTCCCAGCTACCGCAACTGCACTGATGGGAAGGCCTTTTGGAGTCTCTCACCTCTAACTCCTGTTATAGCACCTTTCTTAACATTTTGCTCAGTCAGCCTGGAGAGGAGGCAGCCCCATCGTTGCCCATCTGTCCCTTCAGGGTTCTGAAGACCCTAATTAAGCTATCTCCTTCTCTAGGAGCCTCTACCCACTTACCATACCCCGTCTGGACCCCCAAGGTCCTAGAGGTTCCCTTTAGCTTGTGGTCTCTTGAGGCCCTCAGTCTCTTCTTACTGTTTCATAAGGTAGTTATTATCTAGGTGAAAAGTCATTCTGTTGACTCAAGTCTTCTGTCTGGCCTGCCTTTCTGCTTTAGATGTAGGAAGCAAACCCCAGCCATTGCTGAGAACACGTGTACCAGCTGCACGTGGCATCTCTGGTGGCACGGGTATCCCCAAGTCACACGTGTGCAGACATGCAAATGTACTTGTATATAACACAGGCATGCATAATGTGAGCTTTCTTTACCTCCGAAGTGTTTCTCTGCACCCCCCCCCCTCCCCACGCACACCGACTAGGGTATATCAAGGAGAGAGCACATGTATATATCCAGCCCCCATTCCGTCTGAGTTCTAGGGCTGCCCCGAGTTTCTTTTGCTCTCTCTCTTGCTGACCTGCCTCCTGAAATCTCGGGGGTTTGGGTTCCGGGAGTTCTCGTCCTGCTCTGCTGTGAAATCAGTGGCCCTGAGCGCAGCCTCAATCTCTGGGCCTCGGTCTTCCCATCTGTATACTGGGGGTCCTCCTGGCTCCCGGGATAGCCAGGGTCAGAAGGCAAGAGGTAAAAACAGCCCCAAGGCAGCGCCTGGTTAAAGGTCCAGAATGGGGAATAAAAACTTGCTTCTCTCCAGCTTTCCCAAGGGCCTGGCTGTACAGCCACCTCAGCCAGAGCTTACTGAGTGCCCCACTGCCAACTCTCTTCCAGGTGAGCAATGCCCACCTTCACACCAGGAAGGACTCAGGTTAGAACACAGAAGCCATGTATCGACTAACGTGACTGGTGAGTGCCCATCTCGTTCAGCCGTCCCTCCTCTACGTCTTCCTGGAGTGGCTGTTACCCCTTCCCTCACCTGCCCAGCTGAGCTCTTCATCTGGTGTCTCCCCCCAAAGGCTTTAATCTCATCCGCCGACTCAACCTCATGAAAACATCTGCCATCAAGAAGATCCGCAACCCCAAGGGGCCCCTCATCCTGCGACTGGGGGCAGCCCCCCTCACCCAGCCCATGCGGTAAAGGCCCCAGTGTGACCACTGGGAATCAATGCTCCCCAGCAACTCTGGACGTGGGGGCCTGAACCCAGAGGCCCCTGTGGGTCATTTTATCCCACCCTTTGCCAAGGGTCGACCTGGTCTCCACCCCCTGGGGGCTTACAGGATAGGCACAGAGGAGATGCCTGGCAGGCCCACCCTCTCCTCTGTCCCTCCCCTCTTTCTGGCTAGCAGTCGGGGGACAGGTCTGTACCCTAAGGGCACTGTGAGGACTCCAGGATGTGTGTGGGAACCTGGCAAGAGCTGTGTGTGTGTGTGTGTGTGTGTGTGCCCACACACACCTACATGTGCCCACATGTGAAGTTCAAATTCCTACAAGTCTCAGGGAGGTCTGGCCCCTCCTTCCCTCTCCAGCCTTATCTTCCAAAATGGCCCTCTTTCTTTCTTCCTGCTCTCGTCGGGCTGCATGCTCTTTAGCTTTCTCCAAAACCTCTTCTCCTAGGCCAGCCCCGGTTATTCTGGATTCCAGGGCATCCTGGATTCTTTGGAAGAACTTAAGTACAACTGTAATGAAATGGTGACGTGGCCATCCTGGGGAGTCTGTGTTTAGGGCCCTACCTCTCCCCAACCCGTCATCAGACTTGAAGCCTCCTCGAGGGCAGGCACCCTCTCTGTGTTTTCACCACTGTTATCCCCGGCAGCCAGACCCACCTGGCACATAGCAGGCACCCAATAACTGTCGGTAGAGTGACATGCCCATGGCTGTGTCGGTTTGGAGGAGGGGGCCGGTGCGTGTCCCACGCAGGTTCGGCGGTCCCGAGGGCCCAGGGTGGGCGGCAGCTGGCCTCTCACCTGAGCCTCAGGGTCCCCTCCCTGCTCTACCCCCAGACGAGTATTCCCTCAGGGCCTCCCTGATGAGTTTGCCCTGGTGCTGACACTATTGCTGAAGAAACACACCCGCCAGAACACGTGGTATTTATTTCAAGTGACCGATGGAGACGGGTACCCACAGGTGAGCCGGACCCCCTACCCCGCCCCCCCATGGATCTTGGGGCATCTAGCATGCCAGTCCGGCCCAGCCTCTGACCCAGCTTGTGAATTCTGGGGCCTCTCTGCTCCATCCCGGCGCCCACCCTCCAGGCTAGCCCTGCCCCAGCGACACCTATGCCTTTCTTTCAGGGCGAACTGCTCTGTGACCCCCACCAGCTTCCTTCTCTCTCTGGGCTTCAGTTTCCCCTCCTGTGAAATGACCTCGAGGGCCCCGAACTTTGCCATACTGGGGGCCCTGGGGCTCTGATTCTCTGTCCTTTCCTTGTTCAATTCCACACAGATTTCCCTGGAAGTCAACAGCCAAGAGCGGAGCCTGGAGCTCCGGGCCCGCGGCCAAGATGGTGACTTTGTGTCCTGCATCTTCCCGGTGCCCCAGCTCTTTGACCTGCGCTGGCACAAGCTGGTGCTGAGTGTGGCTGGACGCGTGGCCTCCGTGCACGTGGACTGCACCTCAGCCTCCTCTCGGCCTCTGGGGCCCCGGCGACCCATGCGGCCTGTGGGCCATGTCTTTCTGGGCTTGGATGCCGAGCAGGGGAAACCCGTTTCGGTGAGTGCGAGGTCGGGCTCTGGCCTCTGCTCCCGCCTTCTGGGAGCCTGAGTGAGCTCCCGGGAATCTGCATCTGACCAGGTCCTTCCTTTGCTCAGAATCCTCTCGTGGTTCCCCACTGCCCTCCAGATGCAGCCTAAACATATTAACCTCGCATGCAAGGCCCTTCATGATCTGGTCCCTAGAAATGTCTATGGTATTACCTTCCTTTACATCTCTCCATACTGTTTGCTCTGGTCAGTTCCTTCCTAGCTGGACATCTCACCTATTACTTCCCCACCCCCACATCTTTGTCTTTGCTGTCACCTCCCCCTGGAATGCTTTTCCGTGCAGACCCATCTGCGGAATATCTACTGGTCCTTCAAGGCCCAGCTTAAATTTTTTTTTTTTTAACGTTTATTTATTTTTGAGACAGAGAGAGACAGAGCATGAACGGGGGAGGGGCAGAGAGAGAGGGAGACACAGAATCTGAAACAGGCTCCAGGCTCTGAGCTGTCAGCCCAGAGCCCGACGTGGGGCTCGAACTCACGGACCGCGAGATCGTGACCTGAGCCGAAGTCGGACGCCCAACCGACTGAGCCACCCAGGCGCCCCAAGGCCCAGCTTAAATGGAACCTCCTCCGCCTTGTTCCTCTGGGCCAAAGTGAACTTTCCTCCTTCCTCTCCCTCTTTCCTGCGTGTGCGGTTCCGTTTTGCTTTTGGTGACCACCATATTCTTGATGGTCTCCCCAGGAGAGACCGGAAGGTCTCTGAGGGCTAATCCTGGGGTGGAGCCATCTCTGTGCCTCCCTGGCAGCCAGGACACTGAGCTATTTGGTAAAATGAAGTGAAACTGACTTGTGTGTCCCCTGCAGTTTGACCTTCAGCAGGCACACATCTACTGCGACCCAGAGCTTGTGCTGGAGGAGGGATGCTGTGAGATTTTACCCGGAGGGGTGAGTGGCCCAGCTCCAGCCCAGCTGGGAGGGTTTGGGGCACTTCCCAGGGGCTAGTGTGCTACAGATGGGGAACCAGAGAGGGGATGCGTTGAAATCTTGGGATGAGAGGGGGAGGGGCAATCTGACTTCTGTACTGACCCCAGCCCTTCCCCTGTGCTGGACAGTGTCCCCCAGAGACCTCCAAGGCCCGCCGGGATACCCAGAGCAATGAGCTCATTGAGATCAATCCACAGACCGAAGGCAAGGTCTACACTCGCTGCTTCTGCCTGGAGGAGCCTCAAAACAGCAAGGTAGGTAGACAGGTACCTGTGGCACCTACCACAGGTAGGTACAAGTGGGACTCTCCTCCCCTGACCTGACTGAGGTCCAGCACTGGGTTCAGTTGTTCCCAGGGTAGGGAGGGCACCGGAAGTCCCGCCTATCTATGAACTACCCCTATAGGATTCAAGGAAGCAGAGAGCCCACTGCGTGAACTTGTGCCTACCTGCCTTTTGGCACTGAGGGATGTATCCATCTAGCTCTGCCACTACCCAACCCCTCACTGATGCCACCCCAGACCCTCCTGGTGAGGTCAGGACCAGGCTTGCACCGAGGGGCAGTTTCTCCGGGACAAGGGTACCCGGGATCAGAGGCCCGGCCATACTGCTTCCCTCGGGGCTTGCTCGCTGTCCTGGGCCCAGCCCCAGCCACTGCCAGGCTGGTTCTACACCCCAGCACCATGGCCAGCTGCCCTACCACTCTCAGGTTCTTTAGGGTGGCAGGGAAGCCCAGTTCCTCCCTTAGCCCCACCCCCAGGCTGGGCAGCCTCCCTGCCCGCTGGGCATCGTGCCCAGCCTTTGGCTGCAGGAACACAGGATCCCATTGATTCATGGTCTTGTTTTCTCCGACATCACGTGGGTGGGGGGAAAAGGAGGGGGGGGGCCTGTGGGAGTGCCAGGGGCCTGAGCAGGCTCTTGATGCCTTGGGACGTGCCCGCTGAGGGGGTACCTGGGGTCCATGCCCCTACCTGGGTGCCCCTTTCCAGCATGGGCCCCTGCGCTGCCCCCTCTTCAACAGTTCCTATTTGCTCTCTCTGCCCAGGTGGATGCCCAGCTGACAGGAAGCATCAGCCAGAAGGCAGAAAGGGGAACAAAGGTAGAGACAGTGGGTATAGGGGGAGGAGTTCACGGTGTCCTCGGTCTGCTCTCCGCGCCCTCTGTAAACCCCTTGACTAAGCCACTCTACTCCCACATTCTTTCCACCTGCCCCCACTCCTGGACAGAGCTTAGGATGTATAGGAGCCAGCTCTGGGAAGGAAAGATGACTGGGGGCGAGACAGACAGTAACTGGCACTGTGTAGGGCACCCGCTCCCGGCAGTTCTTGGGTAGGAGTGTTGGAAGCAGTGCTTCGTACCCTCTGCTTCCTGCCCATTACCATGCCCTCCCTCTTCCCAGGCCCGTCAGGAGACAGCGGCCGATGAGGTAAGCCTCCCATCTAGACTGGCAAAGAGGAGGTGCCAGCATGAACCCTTTGGACAAGGCTCTGGGGCACTGGAGGCTGGGCGTAGGGGGTTGGGAGGACTACATAGCTCCCAGCATTCCTTCGGGGCTCAACGCTGGGCCCTGTC